GGTGGGGGAGGTCTGACGCAGAGGGAGTTGGATAAGAAGAAGAAAAAAGGGGTAGGGGTGGGGGGAGTACATTAGAGCTGGGGTCTGACGAGAAAAGAAAGAAAAGAAGCAGAAGAAGGGGGTAGGGTAGAGAGAAAAAGAAGGGTAAAATGGTGTGTTTAAGTGTGTTTTATTTCGATTTTAGGAAATGAGGAGAATCAAATGGGACAACCCAAAAAAGAAAGTGAGAAGAGAGATATGGAACGGAGGGAGTATTATAGTATTTGATTAATTGCACTATTTAATTCTTTGTTTAGTCTATCTATTTATCAAATTTATTATTTAATAATTGTTTAATCTCACTTAACAGGAAGTTTGGAGTCAGTTATACCTAATTAGTAAAGTGGGAGGTTTAGACTAAGTAATTCCCACTCATTTAGTGGAAGGTTATGAGTAAATTATTACTAGTAGAAGTTAGTCTCTCTGTATAAATAAACTTCTAGTCATATGTAATAGATTATGGAAGATTACACAACAAATATAAGCTAAGTATTCTTCCTCAATTATTTATTATTATAATTTTGTGAATTTATATTTTGATTTCTTAATTTCTTTCATTTATTCTCCTTGCCAATCTTGAATCCTATCAAATTTTGTGGCTGAAATGTTTCTAGAAAATGAATGAATAATGTGGACTACACAATTTGAAAATGCCTAAAAAGAAAAATTGAAAATGAAAAGGGGCAGAAGAGGCACTCTTTATTTTCCAATGGCTGACCCACAGGTTACCCTGTTCTGATGATGGGACATGTGTGGATATTCAGGTAGGTTTACACCTGCTAGCATGTAGTAGTCTCTTTGAATTCATTTTAATCCTTTTTCTTTGTCACTTTGATGGTAGTGGTGTGAGACCGTTTGGTGTTTCTCTCTTGGTTGCTGGGTATGATGACAAGGGTCCTCAGCTCTATCAGGTATTTTAATCAAGTATAGTTATTTAATAAGAAAATAATTTATTAAGAAAAGGGAAAAGATACAACACGAATGGCTAATAGCCCATTACAACATTACAAACTTTAAACACCAAGTATAGTTATTGTAAATTGTGAAACCTATTCTTCAACTGATTTTCCAACCAAGCTGGAGGAAGTCTGCTCTTGTTAAATTTGCCAAGTTTTTTTTTCATATTCGGTTTGTTTGTCTTACAGGTGGATCCTTCCGGCTCATATTTCTCCTGGAAGGCCTCAGCCATGGGAAAAAATGTGTCTAATGCAAAGACATTTCTTGAGAAGAGGTCAGTTGGTATCATTTGGGTGTTAGTATAGCAGTCTAAGCTGTGTTTGGAATTTGGATCAATACTGTTTGCTGCACATTGAGTTTCTTCCACTTCAAATATAAAAAAACAAAACAAAAATATTCAAAGTTATCAAATATTTTTGAGGTTTGTTCCAAAATTGTTCTCTAACTTCCTTTTAGTTCCCTTATTTGGGGGCTTTCATAGAAAATTCCTCTCTACATCACCCACCCAGGCCCTTCTGCCGATTGGTTAAGTTGCACGGAGGCAAGGACGGGTACTCATACGGGGACGGGCGAGAGCAGGGAAGCACCTACTTGTCTAAATTTTACAAAGAATTTGGGCGTCGGGAGGCCTCCAATTAACATCAATACAATTATACAATACTCCGTATAAGTTTTCGTTTCTTAATTAGCATACTACTAACTCATATTAAAAAAATAGTGGATAAAGGGAGAAATGTTTTTAATATCCTTAATTGAAAGAAGACAGTTAATGTAAATAATATAATGTTATCTCAATAAAGAAAATCTAACATGCACCATAATTCTGTAAAACGAGTAACAAAAATGTACGACGAAAGTAGTTGAAATTTGCCCAAATAAGTAATACACAGAGAACTGATTTAATTCAAAGAAAATAAGAAATGAACAAACTTAAACTAAGATGGAGAGAAAACCTTTTTAATGTTATAAATATTTTTTTTATTATTCACAAGAAACTATTAAAATAATTAATTTTAAAAATAACTTTGTTCCATCATTAAAGAGATCTCACCAAATGACACCTAGCTAGACCATGACATGTATAAGAGTAATTTCAAATCAAGAAAGGTTTACCCCACCACACTACTATTTTTGCTTTACAACATACTTCATATATATGTATAGTACGAGTAATATTTTTATGACTCTTACTCTTTATTTTTATTTTTTTCTTACACAATTAACATCAATACAATTATACAATACTCCGTATAAGTTTTCGTTTCTTAATTAGCATACTACTAACTCGTATTAAGAAAAATAGTGGATAAAGGGAGAAATGTTTTTAAGATCCTTAATTGAAAGAAGACAATTAACGTAAATAATATAATGTTATCTCAATAAAGAAAATCTAACATGCACCATAATTCTTTAAAACGAGTAACTAAAATATACGACAAAGCAGCACTTTTTTGAAGAGTCCGTGCAACAAAGCCGATTGGGACATAGTGGCTATGTTTGGCTTAGGCTTTATTTAGTTTTTCAGTGGAATACATAATGTGCTTTGTGTAAAATACGTCTGACATTAACATATGTAAAACGTGACTCTTCATTAGTAACTTGTTCATTACCACTTGTTCATCCGAGGATTCTGTGAATATTCAACTGTTCATGACAAAGAGTATTTATATAACTGAGCAGTAGACAAACAATATGGACCTTACCATCAATGCCACATTTCATATGGTCTTTTTTCCTTGTACATTACTGGTGTCTGCATGATTGTCATGTTTCAGGTATATGGAAGATATGGAACTTGATGATGCTGTACACACTGCTATCCTGACACTCAAGGAGGGGTAAATATCTACCCTGTGACTTTTTTTCTTCGTGTTCAAGAGTTAATCATGTTCACAGGACGCTCAACATTTCTAGCATCTAATCTGCGATTTATAGGCTCAATTTTTAAGTGTGCACATACATCAAGTGTTCCCCACTGCACCTGTAAAATTGGGATTTTGCTACATTTTGTTTATTTTTGTTTTTTAAAAAGAAGTAATAACATCAATGCCCATGTTTTGCATGTAATTATTAGATTTGAAGGGCAAATTTCTGGCAAAAACATTGAGATTGGTATAATTGGCGCTGATAAAGTGTTCAGGCAAGTACTTTCTTGGTTTTCTTGACAGTGGCTTTTGAAGCATTAGCATGTAAATGACCTTGCCATTAATAAGTGGGTTCTTGTTGATCTTTTTGCAGAGTTCTTACAGCTGCTGAAATTGAGGACTATCTTCGAGAAGTGGAGTAAAAGTTTCCTTGAGGGAGGGTAATTATCCAAGTTGGTATCAGTTAAGGATCTGTTTCTTCAGTGATCATCTGAGTTTATTTTGACCATCTGAGTTTATGTAAAAACTCTTCAGATGGCCTAAATCTGGTCTTAAAATGTTGGTTTTTTTTACATTAATCTGGTACCTAATCTGGTGGTTTTTTAGCACAAATCCTGCTTAAAGTATTTGTTATGTATTGCCCTTGCAACTTGTCTCTGTTCCCGCAACTTCTGATTATATCTGATTTTGAATGTAAGTTTTTTTGACGGTATTAGTGATTTTCGAAGTTTGGCATTGTTATATTGAGAGCACTGGAAATACTCTTGAAGCTTTGAGGCTTTAAAATTTCTTTCTCTGTCACGTTAGTTTTAACTTATTTTACAGTTTTATTGGAAATGGATTTAAAGTCTCGGGGTTTCAAACTAGGCCTTCAAACTTATTTTTTATATTTTTAACACACATTTTGTAAAACTAAAATACTCCCTCCGTCCAAGAATAATCTTCTTATTCTACACTTTTCTCCGTCCGAAAATAATCTTCCCATTCTACTCTTTAATCTCAATTCTTCCAAAAATACCCTCCTTCTTCTCCTTTTCTTCCACTCTTTCAGCTTTTCCTTTTTTTCCTCGGCCAGGCCACCACCCCCCTCTCCTTTTTTTCTTTTCTTTTCTCCTTATTCTCTCTCTCTCACCCTCCCCTTCTCTTTTCTCCTGGGTTTGTTCTTCTCCTTCTTCTTCATTTCTTCTTCCACTCCGTTCTCTCTCTCTCTCTCTCTTCCCCCCTTCTTCTTCGTCTTCTTCTTCTCATCCTCAACCTTCTTCTTTTTCTTTAGATCTACGTCTTTGTGCCCCCTCCTTTTCTTTTTCTTCTTCTTCTTCTTCTAGATTTGTGCTAGTGGCCATAATAGAGCTGATGGGGGCGGTGAGAGCTAGATCTGGTAGATCTGAACTAGATCTTTTTCTTCTCGGTTTTCCCTTATTTTTGTGGCGAGGGATGAAAGAGATGGTGGGCGCTGGGGCTGGGGCAGTTGTCACCGGTGAGTCAACAGTGGATAGTGGANACAAAGTGGGGCGGCGGTGGGCTGGATAGTGGTGGGGTGGACGGCAGTGGGCTGGGGTGTTTTGGTAGGATACTGGTTGGAGCTTAACCAAAAGATATGGGGGTATTTTGGACATTTTAATATCAAAGTCAAGACTCACTAAAAATGACCAAAAGTCAAACTAGGAAGATTTTTCCCGGACGGAGGGAGTAATAAAACTTCATTAGTTAGTTAAATTTAAACAACAATAGTTCATAAAATAAAAAATACATTAAAAAAAGAACATTTAATAAAAAAAGTACATTAATAAAAAAACCAAGGTATATTATATTTGGCTTTTCTCTCTTGTTGTTTTCTCTCATAATGTATATTCTTGAAGTCTATTAATGTACCAGTATCAAAGAGATTTCCATTATTTTGACTTCTTCCTTCTCTTGCCTTCGTTTCTTCTCATCTTCTCTAATATTGAACACCTATAGTTTTTCAACCATTGTCAGACTGATATCGTTGTGAGAGGAATCTAAGCCAAATCTTACATAACTCGAGGCAATTAATTTTGCCTTCTTCCTTTCGATCAACCGTAGAATGAGGTCCTTGTCATCAGAGTCATTAAGGTTGAAGGGATGCTTTTGTTCTGACGAGCTGATAGTCTCATCAGCCTCAACCTTGGCGGAGTATCTTTTCTTTGACGATTCTGCCTCAGGGTTGTTGTCATTTTGGTGAACAGCCTCCAAAGATCGACGGGGAACTTGCTTTGGTCTCCGTCTTCTCGATATCCGGCGGTGGCTTGCTGCAGAACATCGGCATCGTTCATCCTGCTCTTTCGGGCTCGGGAGTATTTCTTGTAAACTTGATAAACTTTTGGACTTTACGGTTGATGTGGCTCCATTTGGAAGTGAGTTGGTCTCAGATTTGGTAGGAGGTGTTCTTGTTCATCCCCACAAATAACTTTTTCTCGATACGATCCCACATTACATTATTCGTTTGCTCAAAACATTTAAGAATTATATTATTGATGGAAAAAATATATTAATAAAAATATATTTAAATAACATATATACAATATATATTAAAAAACATATAAATTTTACCAACGATAGGATGTTTGGAGATGTCAACCCAAGTGGATACCAAGAACAATCCTTCCTCTGATGTCCAAATTTGAATGGACCGTATCGCCTCGGTCATTGGCTTGTCTTCGGTTTGTGAGTCTTTTGGCGTGCACTTGTTTGGTGCACTTGTTTCCGGTTGAATCTCTGGAACTGACTCTTAGTCTTGGAGATTCACTGAGTTTTGCGTATCATACATCGACAGATTACCAGTGTATGATTAGAAAATCCACATCGCTTCCTCGTTTGGCTCGAGGTTAGACGAAGTAACTTTAAAACTGAAGGAATTCATTTTAAAAATAAAAACAAATACTTGAATATTTTTTAAAAGAAAGAGCAAAGAGAGATTCGTATTTGTGGTGTGTGTTGAATTGTTTAAAAATTGATTGAATATATTGAGGAGTGGATTTTTTTTAATGCTAACAGGATTATAGGCATTTTGGGGGGGGGGGGGGGGG